TGCTCCTGAGCAATGTCCTGTGCCCACCCTGCACCTCATCCCACTGTGCCAATAGCTCACTCTGTCACCTGCCACAGGGGTGACAAAGCACTTCCACTGGCCCCAAAAAGCAGTTTATGAGTCAAGGGCCGCTCTAGCCCTCTCCCAAGGGAGGAAGCTGACTTCTCCTCCCTGCAGCATCCCTTTTACAGCGTTGGACTGGGGACCTCGTTAGCAACACAAATAAGTTTCCAAGCAGAAAAGGGACAAAAGTAAATCTGATCTCATCCTGGCTTCCTCCCGCCCCCACTGGAAGAACTGGAGCGGCTGTGGCCAGCACGTGACTGTCCCCATCTTGTCCCCATTCCACAGGGATGCCATTGAAAGGTTATGAAAATACTGTGCAGGATGGAGGAAGGAGGCATCCATCTGCTGCCTTCACTGCAGGGCCCTGCTCCCTCTGGGAGCCTGGACCAGGGAGATCCACTGAAAACAAACCCAAGGTGCTCTCGAGGGACAAAGATGTGCCAGAGCAGTCAGGACAGCACGCTGGTGTGTGCAGGGTCCTGTGTTCAATCAGAGAAGCAACTTATTCACTCAAAATTAACCTTCTGCTCTGCAGCTTAGAAGTTTCTGGGGTAGCTGTGTTTGCTGACCTCTGAGAGTGAGCAGTTTTATACAAACAAAACACCAGTGCACTTCACATACAGCTACTCCAGTGGCAGTCAGGTGAATAGATACTCAAATTGCTGCACTGCTGGAGCCCTTTGAAACTAAAGTCTCATTATGAAGGTCTTTATCAGCCAAAGAGATAAATTTCACTACTGAAATGATCCTTTTTCAGATCCCTCCAGCAGCACTTTGACCAGCTGACATTTCAGAAGGCAGCAGGCAGGGCTCACACCACATCTCCTTCCACAGGAGTTACAAGCCATGACAGCTTTGGCTGAAGAGGTCCATGTAAATCCCATGGTCCTCCCTCAGAAACACTGTCACGTTTTCCACTGAGGGCTGACTCTTCTGATGACCAGCCAGGTAGTGACCGTGTTCCCCGAGGTGATCACCTGTCCCTCCTTGCACTGTGCCTGCTGCCTTCCCTGCGTATCCCTTTCTCCCAGCATCTCCCCTCCAGCTCTGCACGTCTCTGTTGTCACTCTAAGTCAGATACTAATCTCATCCAACAACATCTCATTATAATTAGCTCTTAATTGCCACTTAACACAGGGATAGTTTTGGAAGGCCATAACAATTTTTCCTTGAGGAATTGAATGTTAAAAGCTCGTTATGTGCCCCTATATACCCTTTGGGTAATGAAAATTATTTCAAGAGGCAAATTAAAAACACCGCTGTGCACACAAGCTCTGTGCACAAGATTTATATGGTTTCCTGGAGCACTAGTAGCATTTTCAAGGAGCAAACCACAGAAGTCTGTTTTACTACCAGTCTCCCTCTGTACCTCCCTCATGCATTCACCATGTCTGAAAGTCACACCATGCAACTGAAAGCAGGAACATTTTAAAAAGCACCTGTAAAATGCAAGGGGTTAATGTCACAGTAGAGTTGCATTGCTGCTGCTCTGCTGGAACTGCTCCCCCAGCCAGGTGCAGCACATCCTGAAGAGTCTGCATTTCAAGGCAGGCAGCACTCAAAGAGCCAAGAGACAAACAGACTGTCAGACAAAACTCATCCTTGGGCACATACACAAGCTTCAGCCAAGACTTCATTCCTGAACACGTCAGACTCCTGAGAGATTTGAAAATGGACAATTTGCCAAATTCTTATCAAGATCTCCAGGGTTCCCACAGCAGAAGCTACAACTGAGTGCCAGTTCACTTTATTTAACCATCCATCTGTCGGTGCAGCAGTGAGGAGAGGCCTGATGCTTCTCAGGTACTGCCCCATCCACACTGTGCCAACAGGCAGTTCAGTGTCTGTCACAGTGCTCTGCAAAACACCACACTGAAATAAAGGGGAGAAATGGGCCTGTTGCTTTCTCTCAGTCTACTGCTGCTGTTCTCCCCACTCCCCCTTTTTTTACTGTTCAGGAGATGTCACTGTTTTTGGTAGGGCCTGAATGACTGCTGAGCTCGAGTGGCTTCTGGGGAGAATGTACAGGCTCTCTGCAGAAATATTTTTTGGAGAAGTGCCCATGATTCACAATCCCTATGACAAGTTTCTCTTTTTTGAAACGCATTTCAACAAGCATCCAACGGGGCGTGACAAAAAGAGATGCACAGAAAACACACCCATATTCCCATACAATCACCTCTTGGGCAGCAGCCCCTCCACCAGCAAACAGACCCAGAGGTCAGAGCTGCACAAAACTCAGGGTTCCTGAAAATCCCTCCTGTAGAAACCAGGCCTGCACAGCCGATTTAAATGAAGAAAAAAATCCGTAATGTGCCTGTTCATTTGCTGATGTTTTTATGCCTAAACGTGGTCCTAGGAGAACTTCCAAGAGGCAGTAGGAATATATTCCTAAATGCATTGCACAGCACAGAGAAGTCTTTTGCACCAGAAATAGAGGAATGACTCATTTCCTCTGTAGCGGCTGCTCCGGTATTTCACTTGCACAGGCAGTGGAGCAGCTCCCTGTGCCATGTCAGGAGGACCTGGGAAACTCAAGAGCAGTTGCCAGTGTATGTAAGCCTAACTGAATTTTGATTTGCCTTCAAAACCAGTGATTCCTGATTGTCATCTGGCAGAGCACAGGAGACAGATTGGCAAACTGCACCCAAACACTCCCTCAATGGGAGTTTTGTATTTCAGCATTTGAATTTTGCACAGGATTAAATCCTGAGAGAGCCAAGAGCTGCCCTCTCTGTTGCCCTCCCTTGAAGCAGTGCATACATGGATTTGCCACTGAATTCAGCTCCAAGTTTCTCCTCTCCCCTGCTTGAAACTGAAAGGAGTGGACTGAAATTGCCAGGGAGAAGTGGGCTATTGGTTGGACTTTGCTGCTGTTCTTCCTGTTTCCATAGCTATTTGTTTTCAGTCGGTACAGTGAGACTTCTCAAAGCAATTCTTTCACTCTCTACCCTAGGAATCCATCATAAATTTTTGGTAATTTTTGGTAGCTTTCCTCCTTCAATTTGATAGTTGGTAATCTTCACAGCACTATCTCCATCAAGCCTGTCTGCTCGTTTCCTTACATCCCCTTTTTCCCTTCCCCCCATCCAGATTTTCATGGGGACTCCATGGCAGGCATAAAAGCCAATAGACAACCACAAGTATCATGAAATCACTAACAAACCCTTGTCACATCCAGCCCAGCCTAGAGAGATGAGTATTCTCTATGCAGCTCTGGTCCCAATCTTTTCAGGGGTTTGGTGGGGTTTGTTTTTTTTTTGTTTGTTTTGGGGTTTTTTGGGTTTTCTTTGTGGTTTTTTTTTGAGGTGAGGAGGGGGAGGAACTCCCAGGGGTGTTGAGAAAGGCAGTTTTCATTGGAGTACACCAAATTCTTCTGAATCACCATTGCTATCCTTTAAAAGGAAAAAAACAAGGCTTAACACAGAGCCTGGTACATGATGACATTTGATGCACACACATTGGTAACAACCTTTAAGCGTTTTGCATATAAATCATTACTCTGATCCAGAGGCTGTTTATGGACACAGAACACACATTATCTGTATAGCTCTGCTGCTGATCTCTTAGAAAGCACTGTAAATATGCCAATTCTTGGTTACTTATTTAAAACAGGGCACTGAAGGTACGTGCACGAGAGCAGAGGTAATCTCAGAGTCAGCCATCTCGTATGTTTGAGGAACCCAGACCGATCTATCCATGGTCAGCCCTCCATATCCTGCTAATTTTAGAGCTGGGAGCTATTTCAGCCCCTCCAGTAAGCACAGCACCGTGCTCCAAAGCATCAGCAAGCACTGAAGGAGAATCCTTGTGCTTTAAGGGGTGCCAGTACTTTTTTCTTCCTCAATCAGCAGCTTCCCAGTGCTGTCAGCCCAAGTGTGACTGGCTGCTCTTCTGCCAGCTACTGAAATTATGTCACCTCAGGGAAGACTCACCAGGCAGACATTTAAAGAGGTGACACAAGAAATAAACCGGCCTGGAACAGGAAATTTCCCATGTCTGACATCTTTTGGAGCCTTATGAAAATGGGATGTACAAATAAAATTCCCTTCCCTTCCAGACAGCTTTAACTTGCATTAGCAGTATTTAATCAGCAATTCACTGCTGACATTGGCTGCATTACAAGGAGGTATTTGCACAAGGATGTAAAGATTTTAAACAATTTATCCAATGAGTTGGATGCAAACAGGCTTTCCTTTAAACATCAAGCATGCAAGTCCTCAGGCCAGTTAATTTTTTGTTAACAGATTTATCACAAAAGGAAAGTACTGTGTTTCTGTGTTCAATAGGAACTTGGGTTTCAGAGAAGTACTTCAGAGCAAGGACTGAATGGAGACCAGAGGATGGCTATTGCTTTATGGAAGCTATTAATAAGAGATAATGTTATTAGAGGTAAAGTTCTAAATACATTTTCACCATGCTGACTTGGGTGGCTGAGAGTTGACACTAAATGTTGATATTTTTGCCAGCAAGAAGCCCACTAACCACACTGTGCCAGCAACTGCTGCCCCTCTCAAGAAGCAGCTCCTGCAAGGTAAAGGCAGGAACAGAAACATCTGCAGAAAGGCACTTCCAGCCTGGCCTTGATGCAATGATTCAAAAGCTCAGGTCTTGCTGTTATTTCATTAACAGGGAACAGCAGCACAAGCCATGTGTATAGTTCTTGAATCTTACCAAAGACTAATAAAGCACAGGTAATTGGCTGGCCCATCCACAAAGCTCCTGCTGGCTTCAGCAGGACTTTTCCCATGTTTAATAGAAACGTGACCTACACGGTTTGGAACGGAGACGTGTCTGGATGTGCCATGCTGAAGGATCACACCGATCCTGTGAAATGAAGTCCTCACTTTCCATCAAGCACAGAAAGAGCAGATTTGCAGCAACCTAACACTGGAGCCAAGGAAACAAGAACTCTGAGCAAGCCAACCACAAACCCCAATGTGCTCCATTTCGGATGTCAGAACCCCCCCAGACAGTGCTAGCCATGCTCCACTCGCTCTTCTGGCTCTTCTCCACATCCCTCTGCACAACTCCCAAGGTGTGCACTTCCTGCTTTTCATCACTTTGCCACTTCAGCAGCCTCCTCCTAAAGAGCACATAAACCTGCCAATTACAGTTCTGTGGCTGCAGGTAGCTTTTAGTGAAAAAAAAAGGCAACAAGGAATTTAAATCTTGAGGCACAGATGATTTAACACAGTTGTTTATTATTACTGTGAAATATTCAAACAAAACCACCAACTTTTTATTGTAACAATGAAAGTGCAAATGTATTTTGGAATTAAATAGGAAATGAATTTATAAACGTTTCATTAAAATGGGCTGACACTTTGAGCCTATAAACACTCTTAAAAAACCAAAACAATAGCAGCTGAACACCTCAGTTTTATCTTTGGTCTTAGGATTAACCAGCAAAAAATAGTTGTACCAGGAATGTCCATTACAAACAGATACTTAAAATTTACATGACTCTGTAGAGATTCAAAATCAAAAGAGGAATGTTTACAAGATACTTGGTCAGACAAAATATAATGTCTTTGAGAAACAGCATTTTTCAATACAAAATGAAATTGCATATATGGATTTTGATACTGTAAATTAACTTATTCTCTTGCAGGTGTGACTCCTCTTCCAAATCAACATTCAATAAAAATAACTTCATTTGCACAGTCTTTGCAAAATCAGGTTGCAGGTAAGAGAACAAAGAGCCCAAGTCAGTGCTAAACAACATGCTCTTTTTTCTGTGTTTGTGTTTCTGTTTACACACACAGGCAACCCCACTGAATCCATGGTACATTGTAACAGCTACACCCTTAGCAAACAGGTATTCATAACCTTGTTGTGTATCCATGGCCTGGGAGAGGAGGGAGAAGGCAAAACAGCCACAAGATTACTCCTATGGGTCAAGTTCTCTGTACACATCCCTGCAGATAAGGCCCTGTAACAGCTCCAGCACACAGCAGGCACCAGTGCTGTCAAGTTTCTGTGGAATAAGATGAATGCTTTAACAGAAACCCAACTTCTTTGAGCTCCTTTTGTCAATGGTACTCATGAATGCATCCATGCTTTAGAGCAGATAAGGAGAACACATATTTAATATCTCAGTTGTACACCTGAGCCACCCAGTGCCCACACAATTGCCTCAAAGCAGGATGCCCCCTCACTTCAAGAAGGCTCACCCAAGCTTAAGATGAAAGCAAACACGTGCATTTTCTCCATCATGAACTCAAAATATGCCTTGCTGAGCAAAAACTCTCACTGAAGAGCTACCTGCATAGCTAATGAACTGAGGGTTTGCCTCGCTTTTTACCCTAATGGACTCAACTGCTTTGGAAATATTGTCAAAACAAAACACACTTAAATCTCTTTATCCTACACTCCAAATCCACTTGCTTTCAACAGTTCTCCTCCAATTTTACCCCATGTCCTTTGGCTTGTTTGCAGTGCATCTTCACTGAGAGTTCACCATCACTGTCACTCACTCCTCAGCCCAACTTTCATTTTCTAAACTATTTACATTCTCCACCATCTCTTCTTGTCATGTATTTTCCAATGCAACTCTATTCTCCTGACCTTACTACATTTTCGTGAGGAAGTCCTTACCAAGTCCATTACAGGTTTCCTTGTATTGTGGCAATACTAAACAAATGTACACCCCTTTCCACAGCAAAGATCCCTTTTCTGAGACAAGGATGCACTGATATAAACAGACAGACAGCTGACTGAAGTGATCATGATGCCAGAATTAACAGCTCAAGGGTTTTCATGTCAAAAGTTCAGGCAGCCACAATACCCTGGGCTGGCCATCTAGTTCTTCTTTGGGCAAAAGATTCAATGGCTTTGATTGCAGAACTGCATTTTATTTTAAATACCAAGAAACAGAAGCCGGCAAAAATAGTACATATCATGGTCTGCTACCAAAAAAAAAGCAAACAATAACCCAGAAACACCAATGTAATTGACTTAGTCTTAAATACCATGTGCAAAGAACATTTGATCAATACTACCTATAAATACACTATTTGTATTTGTAGAAAGAAGCACAGTGCTTCAAATACAAAAATAACCCAGCTTGTGGGTGTGACCTATGCCATAATTACCTGAAAATATGACTGCAAGAGCAGTTAAAGAAACAGACAGAAGTAGGCAAACATCTGCCTAGGGAGTGTTTCCATTTAGAAAAATAGATTTGTATTAAGCTTTATAGATTTTGAAAATGTTTGTTTCATGTTCTGATGCACAGAACCGTGAATCAAGCACACCAATACACCAGGGAGAAGAGCAGGTTAGTAACTTCAGGCTACCCTAAAGCTTCCTGAAGCTACACTTGGTCCTTCACAATTCCAGAGTGCTCAGTCAGGACACAGCATTGCAGGTAATAAGGCACATGCTCAGCTTCCTGAGCACCTGCAATTTAGCAACACATTTTGGGGCTTAATCCATCAAATACTTGAGCAGGTGACCAAAAAAAAGCAAAGATTTGAAATTCTGAATTTTCTGACACCCTGGCACACCTGCAGTAGTAGCTAAGGACACTTGCAAACCTGGCTGCATCACAACTCAACAGGTTATTCCAGCAACTGGGACATAACCAGACAAAAAGTGGCAATTATCTGACTGATATTTATACTCAGAGGACACCAGAATTTATAGTCCAAGACTGCCACTGTACCACAAATCAGTGCTAAATAATTCTGAAGTACCCTGAAATACTTTACTTCCTTCTCCCCATAATAAAATAACAATTTGCTATAGTACAAAACTAGAAAATCCCATCAAGGTTATTTGGTTCAAACACTGACACAATCAGACAACTGGTTAGGCAGTCATCCAAAAATCCCACCAAACTCCTACCAGGGAGCAGGAGGGTGCTGCAGTCAGCTTATGGCACTGAGATTTGGACTAGTTTAAGGTTGTTCCAAAATATAATACAGAATTTCTTATCTTGTTGTTGGTCCTTGAGGTAAAGTGTATTCTAAGAAAATAATACTTGAATACAGAAACAAATAATAAAATTCAACTAGAACCCACAAACAAATGAACCTCAGAGTACTTCTTTAAAAGATTTTCCTTGGGATATTTCAAACACCACTCCTTTAACAAAATACTAATGCCTCCTCAATAGCAATATTTAGTGCAGCCAATTATCCTAAAAATAAGATCTTTGTGAAAATAAAGTGCTATTTGTTTCCTTCTATCTGCATTTCAATCCTTCCGTACAACCTTCACTTGAACACAAATGTGAAACTAGATTCTTCATCCCGTTAACAGAGCAGTTTCACTTCTTCCCTCAAGTTTACATTAACATGTGTTACATTTCTATTTAGCACAATGTGCTCGATTGCCCAGGAGATTTAAAGCATGGCATTGAGTATTTCAAACTGTGATCCACACCCATGCTCTAGTGCTCATCACATTTTAAGAACATCTTGGTACATTGATGGATGGGGTGGGGGTGGGGCTGTTTGCACTTAGAAGATTTTTAAATCCCACGTGGATTTTGCATCATATAAAGAAAATCTCAGAAAAAGCTCTATTTTGTCACTAAGACAAGAAGTTAACATGAATTTCTAAAAACGTCAGTTTGAGCCTCTTAGTTTGCAAACTTGACTGAAGGCAACACTTGACGACCAACGCGTTTCCCCCGAAATGTCAAAGTTTTCCCACGTACAACCAACGAGAACGAGAAACACAATTTCAGTAAGTCTTGGTCTTCTCATGTCAAGAGCAAAACCACAGAAGCACATTTCATCAGTCCCACCATCCTCAGGCAGATGCAGGCTCTGGAAGCACGAGGGAGCAGGGAGTGTGCGGTGCCCCAGAGGGTCCCCGGGTGACAGCGGCTCTCCCTCCCCAGCTCACTCTGCCGGGGGCTCCTGCCCGGCCTCGGCCATGTGTCGGCACGGGGCGGGCGCTGGGCGCAAGTACCGGGGGCTGCTGTACATCCTGATGATGTGCGGGGCCTGGATCCAGGTGCTGATCAGCTGGAAGGCCACGAGGTCCAGCGTGGGCCCGTCGAAGGCAGACAGCAAGTTCACGGGGGCCGCTTCCTTGAGGAACCGGGGCAGTGCCACGGCCTCGGGGATGCTGGTGTTGCCCAGGAAGAAATCCATCAGCACCTGCTTGCGCAGGCAGTCCCGCAGGTACAGCACCAGGTCCTCCAGCCGCTCCACCAGGAACCGCTCATCCCAGGCCTCCAAGGGCCCCTGCAGCAGCAGAGAGAAGAGCGCGGTCTTCAGCGCGTAGGAGGAGAGCACCCGGCCCCACTGGGAGCAGAAGGGCTCCTCCAGGCCCTGCCTGCGGAGGTCCCGCAGGCCCTTGAGGATCTGCAGGCACTTGAGGTGGCAGGAGGCGGCCGGGGCC